GGGTGCAATTCCCGGATCTGGAAATGAAATACTGGAGTCTAACAGGTCTAAGCAAGCTCGGGAGTGCTATTGGGAAACCTGTGAAAAGAGTTAAGGCTACTGCCTCTAGAGTGAAATGGTCTTATGCAAGAATTTTAGTAGAGGTCCAGATTAATTAGTCCTTCCCTGATCAGATCCATTTCCTCAATGAGGATGGCAGGATCATATCCCAACAGGTGAAGTATGAATGGGCCCCAGTACTGTGTTCTCATTGCAACAAAATTGGGCATGTACTAGAGAAGTGTAGAAAGAAGAACCCTCCCCAAGATGTCCCTAGAAAACAGAAGAAGATATGGAAACCAAAAGACACAAAGAATGAAGATAAAACTGATGCTCCCAGTAGTCCAAAGCCTAGTGGATGCTGAGGCATTACCCCTGACAATGAATGAGAAAATGAAGGACAAATTCCCAGAAACTACTGAAGAGGAAGGATTTATAGAGGTAAACAAAAGGAAAGCTGCAAGGAGATTTTCTCTGGATAGTAATGAAATATACTTGGGTGGAATATATGCTGATCTCAGGTTGGCTCCTTATAAGGGGCATCGCCCTTTTCTGCAATGATAGGGTGTTGGAACATTAGAGGGCTCAACAGCCCTAATAAACAGTATGAAATAAAAAATATTATAAAGAAATATGATATTAGGATTTTTGGTATTCTGGAAACAAAGATAAGGGATGTGAATTATAAAATGGTGGCTGATAAACTATTTTTGGGATGGAGCTCTTATATCAACAATAATGCTCATCCTTTGGGTAGAGTCTGGATTGTTTGGGATCATAGTAAAATCAGTATCAAGGTTTTGGAGGCTACTGATCAGATTGTTCACTACAAAGATAAACTTCTCGCTCACTATTCACATGGTCAAATTTTATTCACTTTGTTGACCTATTTTCATCACCCATTTGACAAAATAATATGGTCATGTCAACTCTAGTTTTACAGATCTTTTGATATACTTTTTTAATATGTAATATTTATTTTCAAAATCTACCCCATTTTTCATATAAAATGATTTAAAAATAACTTTAGTCAAACGTTCGAATGCGCAACGGGAAGTTTATTTATGGACAAAGGGAGTAAAAAGCTACAAAAAAAACTGAAGCCAAGGTCTGTTATTGAGAATCAAGCGAAGGAACGCAAGATCTAACAAGCGAAAGAATTACGTTTGAAGTTATATGACTTGAAATATAACAATTTTCGCTTGTGAGATCGGGAACCCTCGTATTGATTCCCAATCAGAGAATTGAGTTCACTGAACGAAATGTAGCTTCCATCTCCAGTATTGTATTAGGGTTTGGGTGTCTGTTTTTCTCCGGTGTGGGAGTGAGTGTCTTCCAGAACGGAGTATATTTGCTATAATCATCAGTCTTGTTAATACATCAAACCAGAGAAGTGAAGGAATGCCCTTTTTCATTCGGATCCTAACCCATTTCATAGGCCAAATTCCATATCCATGTTGGGTAATAATAATAATTAATATTTCTAATTAGTTGAGAAATTACAATTATTTCATACTCAACATCTAGATTTACATTTCTAATCATATCTTGCACAACTCTAATGTTCCAAATTACGTATGAAACAAATATTACATCACCAGTTTCCAAATTATTTGGGAATATAAGTTAGAGAATAATAAAATTTGTTGATTAGGGAAGTAATTTGATAAAAAACAAAATTTATGACACAAAAATTGTTCAGTTGACTCTCAGGAAGTAAAGCAGGAAAATTTTGATCATCAATTAAATAAAAATTACGTAGTACATTTCATATGGGTAAAAAAAAGGAAAAAAGACTAAGGTGCGAGTAAAACATTGAAAATATACTAAAATAAGAGCTTAATTTTTTTATTCCTAAAATAGGAGTTAAAATGCATTTAAATTATAAATCATGATCGTTTACATTACCAAAAAGTAAAGTTAAATGTATATGCACATTGTCACATTACCACAGTGTAAAATCTTATTTACGCAATAAAAATATGAAACTCTTATTTTAGTATTTTCTATATATTTTACTCCTATTTATGGTGATGTCTTATATAAAAATGATTTGTAAAATATATCAAGTGCGTTAGATGAGTGCACGGAACTCTTTTGTGCACCCCATGCTTAATGTGCATCTAAGGCTAGTAATGACCCATATCTCGTATAATATGCTCTTTAATGTAATATTGAGTACAATTTATATACATAGTAATTGTATTTATTTATATGTATTTATTTTTTTATATAAAAAATAATTATTTGTTGATTCAAAATATTTATAAGTCTTAATCTCTAAATTGCACGGGAACTTGTAAAACTATTTTATTATTTTATGAGTAAACATTTTAATTTTTATATAATTGATTTTAAAATTTGCTTACCTTGTCTCTAAAATGACAACCTATGCAAAACTCATTGGAAAGGAGGGAGTTAGTATTGAAATTGTGAAATGAAATATTTTTAAAATAGAAAAATATAAGGAACAAACATTTCTGTGTGAGAGCATTCTTGTAATTTAGGAAAAAAAAGGAAAAATGTTTAGTAATATATACATTATAAACGAAAGTTTATTGGGGGCAATATATTTGACCCCATTAGATGGAATGTGCATCCACCAATGACCATTTAATTAAATATGTAAGAAAACTCTAATTTTGGATTGAAAAAAAGGAATTCGGTCTTATTCGTGTTTGAGGTTATATGCTATAAATTGGGATATATGATGTTATTTTATACTTATCCCGTCCAAAGTTAGACTTCAATTCCCACTTTGACCGGACACAAAGACTTAGGTAAAGTGAAAATATAGTTGACTTTTACAAAATACCCCTCCTTCCTCCTTCACTCAACCAGCCTCCCTGCCACCAAACTCCTCTTTCAATGTAAATACGTATTTTAGATCGTTGTTGGAAGAAATGTGAAAGAGTAGGAAAAAGTTGAAAGATAATTTTTCCAAGCAAAAGAACAAATTTTAGTAGAAGGGGAGAAAATGTTTTGAATCTTTATTACTAATATTAATAAATACTCCCTCCGTTCACAAATAAACTTCTCGCTCACTATTCACATGGTCAAATTTTATTCACTTTGTTGACCTATTTTCATCACCCATTTGACAAAATAATATGGTCATGTCAACTCTAGTTTTGTAGATCTTTTAATATACTTTTTTAATATGTAATATTTATTTTCAAAATCTACCCCATTTTTCATATAAAATGATTTAAAAATAACTTTAGTCAAACGTTCGAATGCGCAACGGGAAGTTTATTTATGGACAAAGGGAGTAAAAAGCTACAAAAAAAAAACTGAAGCCAAGGTCTGTTATTGAGAATCAAACGAAGGAACGCAAGATCTAACAAGCGAAAGAATTACGTTTGACGTTATATGACTTGAAATATAACAATTTTCGCTTGTTAGATCGGGAACCCTCGTATTGATTCCCAATCAGAGAATTGACTTCACTGAACGAAATGTAGCTTCCATCTCCAGTATTGTATTAGGGTTTGGGTGTCTGTTTTTCTCTGGTGTGGGAGTGAGTGTCTTCCAGAACGGAGTATATTTGCTATAATCATCAGTCTTGTTAATACATCAAACCAAAGAAGTGAAGGAATGCCCTTTTTTCTATTCTTCACGGTTTTTCTTCTTCGGTTCTCAATGTTGGAAAACATTTTCACTTTGACATTTTGCTAATGACAATGTTTGTTTCCGTTTAGGTTTTGATATTGACAAACCGTCGGGAACATGGAACAAAATGAAAAGATAGAAAAAGTTCTTTGAAGAAACAAAAAGCATTAGAACGGCATTGACGTTGCTAAAGATGGCGACATTGGCGCTTTGAAAGACGTATTCTAAATACTTAGGTCTTTATTGTAACAAGCTCATTCAATTTCTCTACGTCATGGCTCAAAACAAAATATGTTTTTCATGCATCAAATGAGTGTTTTCATAAATGGTTTTTAAGTTTCTAATACCTATGGTTCTTGCTTAACCAAAACCATAACCATCGGTTATCGGCGTTCGGCTATGGCGTTCAGTTTTCGGCATTAGTTATTGGCATTGATTTTGACCAAATGGTTTTTGGGTTTTTATCTTTGGTTTATGCTTCTGGACACATTGAAAGGTTTTCCAAATGATTAGTTTTCAAAAACCATAACCTTTGTTTTTCGGCGTTGGTTATCGGCATTCGGTGCCGGTTATCGGTGTTGGTTTTTGGTGCCCAAATCAATCAAGTGGTTTTTAAGATTTTATGATTGGTTTTTACTTCTGGGCATATCCAAATAGTTCTCCAACATAAACATGTTAAAAACCACCTTTTGTTTTTGGTCTTTTGGTGAAAACCATGTAGAACGATATAAACTTGGCTAGCCGTGGTTTTTACCTTAATGAAGTGGTTTTTACGTTTTTATACTTTGTTTCTACCTAAAATACATTATATAAGAGTTTCCAACACTTGGTTTTCATTTTAGAGAACTTTGGTTTTTGACATCGGTTTTCGACGTTGGCTGCCAAACCATGGTTCTGACAAACCATCCCGACATGCATGTCGGAAATCCCAACCGCCTTCAGAAGCCCTGGGTAGTAAGTTTTTGAACAGCGATGTTCATGGTTGAACAGCGATGTTTTCAAATGACCGTTGGGCTATTTAAGACAAAATCTTTCCATTTTTGAAAGTCAAACACCCCAACAGCGATGTAGACTTCTAGACATTGATGTTTTGATGACCGTTAGCCATTTTTAAAGGAAAGTCAAAGCCATAACAGCGATGTTCACTATATGAACAGCGCTGTCGGGCTAGATTTCAGTAGATCCACTTTTATTTGATTTCCACAAATCAAGCCAATCAACTCCAATCTTCTCCCAACCGTTGCACCTTGTTTTTGGGTATAAAAAGGGGTCTCTTGGGTCTACTTTTTACATCCATTCCTCACACATTTCATAGCTTTACATTGCATCATTCCATAAACTTTTTACATAGCTTTTTAGAGCCATTTCTTGAGGAATTGAGTGTGTTCTTGATCTAAATTAGTTTACTCATATTCTACTCTTTAAGAGAGTTTTTGTTCTTGAGTGGTTAAGTGTTGTGAACACTTTAAGGGAGGTTTGTTCCCTTGGTTGTACGAAGGAAGGGCATATTCCTTCGAGTTGAAGTCTTGGAGTGCGGTATCTCCGAGCAAGTGTATTGAGGCTCGTGGGACTCGAGTTCTCAGGTTGTAACGGTTTGTTAAGCACCCGTAAGCTTAACGGAAGTAGTGTAGCTCGAGAGAGTCTCTCGGGAGACTGGACTAGCCACACGTTGTGGTGAACCAGTATAAATCTTGGTGTGCTCTCTTTACGCTTTTTTACGCTCTTTACTTTTTACGTTCTTTACTTTATCCCTACGATTTTTATTCCGCGAAAATTTATAAACATTCTCGTGCCTCACTATTCACCCCCCCCC